GAATGCTAAAGATTTTAGAAAAATGAACATCTAACATATAAGATCATAGAAGATAATTTAGTGTGACGGTAAGCTAATGACTTTTAAATTTTGTAGTTAATAATGTCTACTTTTATATTATTTAATGGGAAAAAACATTTTCATAGAAACTAAATCGAATTACCTTAGAAAATTTATGGAAATATATTTTGATTTTTATTTACTTATTTTTTTTTATAGCTTAATAAATGAAAAATATATAGCACACTCAATGTACAGAATTTGTAGTAATTGTCTTAAGTGTGTATTTATAACTAAAATAATATTCTTAAGGTCTAATAACTTTAAAAAAAATTAATTTCTACTGATTATAGTGTGATAGGGGAATGTTACGTGATGCATCACACCAGATTTTAGTTTCAAAAATCTAAATTCACTTTTTTTTTTTAATATGTTAAATATTTAATATATTATCATATTTAATATGTTAATAATTTTGAAATTTTAGCTTAATAATTTTGAAACTTTAGCTTAATAATTTTATATGACACCAAACTATTATTTAACCAGCAATCAATGTCAGCTGTCAATGTCTTAATTTCTTTTTTCAAGAAGGGATAAAACAATAAGTGATTTTGATTATTACTGTTGAATTTGAGTTTGATGATATAAATTCTATGATGTGGATGAAAGCAGTTGTAAATTACCTATAACTGTTTTATAAAAAAATATGGCATTAGTTAAAACCAAATAGTCTTAATAGACTCATTGTCAATACTTACTTTTAAATACAATGGCTTGAAAAAAAACAATGATTAGTGTCAAAAATTGTCCTTTCAGTTGATAAAAAACACAAGTTGGTGAATTATAATTAAATTTTATTCCATTGATGGGTTACTCTACTGATTTTTCATTGCTTCCTTACCTAAAATCATAAATGCACTAACATCGGAGATTGGCTTATAAATTTGTTCCTTATTCCTCCAGATATTTAAATTAATATAAAATAAAAAACCTAAGAAATAAAAAATTAAAAAATCATACAATGCATAAAAACTAAGAGATAATGGTCAGATTAATAGAAAATTATTCATCATTTATTCTTTAACCACAATTTTCCATTTTCAGTGACAACAATTTTTTACAAATGTAAATAGGATATTACCCAAACATTTTTATCTTTCACTTGAAACTTATTCCTTACCTATTGGGTTTAAAATTACCTTTCCATAATACACAGCAGTAAAAATACATAATTTTATTGAATTTACTATCTATTTATAAAACCATATCAATACAAAATAGAATTTAGAACTAAAAACCAATTCAGGTGCTATTAATGAGCTTATTTTTTGTTTCGAAAATGTACTGAAATCTTAGTTGATAAGAACATTTAATTAAACCACTGTATTTTTTTTATTCATTAACAATCAATATAATGTTATCAATATAGTGTTGATAACTCTATATTGTATGGAACAAAATTTTAAATAATAAGACCTATCATTAAAAATAAATCAGTTCTACAATAGACCATATATTGTCTGAGGCTTCATATAATTCTTGAACAGTGTAGTTAACTCCACTCTATCTGTCTATTCCTGACTAATGTTGGGTACTCATGTTTTGAGAGTTAAATAGATCTAGGAAGAATCATTAAAAATATGATCATAATCCAGAGAAAACCTACAAATTATCTGTTGAGAGAAAATAAAGTGTGCTAAACCAAAACTCAAATCAGGTTGATTAAGCTTTGAAGAAACTACTTTAGTTTAGTTGCTTTGACACCTTTCTCTCACTCAATAAATTTTGTTTTATGAAACCAGTTTTGTAATTTTAATTTGAATAAGTAATTTTAATTAATACTTTTTGATCTTTTGTCACACTAATAAATAAAAAAAATAAAATAAAAATGGTCTAAGCATTCATTGAATATTGTAATTTTGTGTGTTGTCCATTTTTTAGAAATAGATTTAGATTCTATAAAATAAATAACTACTTTTAAATTTCATTGAGTAAATCAAATAATGAAACATGTTTCCAGCTATATAAGATCATTTTTCAACAAAATGATGCTGTAGTTATCTGTTTGCAGTGATTGGTTTTTATAACAGTGATTATTTTTATATAAATTTTCAACTATGAAAATTATAATTTCATTCTTTTTATTTTATTATTATTGAGGACTATAAGTGAACATAAAAACATTAAACATTGTAAAGTGAAATTGAAAAGTTTGTCAACACCTTTACTATTAGTTGATTAATTTTGATGCTTTAAACATTTTAAGGTGTAAAATCAGAAGAAGCTAGTATTTGTTAGAAACATATAATATTGTAACAAAGTTTAAATTTAGGTATTTGCTAGAAGTTTTTTTTGTATTTATTTTTTTTCTCATCAAAAATTGAAATAAGTGGTTTATAGATTTAAAATAATTTATAAACATCTCTGAACCAGTAATTCAATTTTTTGACACTTAACTCGAATTTTATTATCAAATGTGCTCTGAATAAGTTTTATTTTTTATGTTACCATTTCTTTATTTTCAAATCACTACAATTTATCCCGTGTAAAATCTAATTCGCCCATCCTTATGATACATCCTTTTGGTGTTGAATATAGTAGTATCACACATTTATATCCAGTTTTGCCTTGCGAAAATGTAACTATAAAGAGTTGTAGATAAATTTTATTTATATAAAAAATAAAAAGATTCTTTTCTTAAACAATTACCATATTCTTAGTTCCCAAAACTTGCTAGTTAAGCTAATGAGGCATAAGAGGTGACATTGATTTTCTTATAATTTGTTTATTTTTTAACTGTGATGCTAGAGAATGGAGGAACATAATCCAAAATTAGTCATCACTTTTCTCTTTTAACAGAATTAATCTTATGATTTTTAAAAAAAATTTATGTTGATAATTTACACTAAGTTTAGGTGTTGAGAAAGCATTTTTTTATGTTATTTTTTAAATGTTCTTTCCTTTCCTACAAACCTGCCCTCTTCCCATTTGATATACTGTCTAGAATGGTGAGAGCAGGTATCTCATTCTATATCCTTCGATGTGAATCATCCACTTCAATCATTGCAACAAAATGAATGGTCTTTGCATCAAGCTGATTAGAGAAAATAATCCTAATTGTCGGAAAATATGGTTTCCTCATATAATATCAATTACCTATGGACACCTTTAAATATAATTAATTAAAATGTTGGCAATAAAAAGTTCCTTTAATGCAAGCGAATATTGTATTTCTCACATTTAATTTTTGTTGACATTTTGGGAATTATTTCTCATCTTCAGAACTCCTCGTTGCATTCACTTATAGTTACTATGCTATGTGTGCTCCTTGGTCTTAATTTATACATTTTTTTCAAAAGTCTTATCCAGAGCAACCACATTACTAGAAATTGAACCACAATGAGTACAGTAATGTGGTTGCTCTGGATAGGAATTTTGAAAAAATGTATAAATTAAGACAAAGGAGTACCAATAGCACAGCTATTGACTAAAAGTGAATGCAATGAGGAGTTCCGAAGATGTGAAAGAATTCTCGAAACATTAACAAAAGGAAAATGTGACCAATGAATTATTTGCTTGCATTAAAGGAAGTTTTTATGGCCAACATCTTAATTAATACACCAATACTTCCCAAGAAAAGAATATTTAATTATAATTTATGACTCTGAACACAGAATTTAATATTTTACAAAAATTACATTTTCCAAACAGTTATTTCTTCTTTCAGTTTCTGTGAACTAACATACAATTTTTATAAGACTAACCTAACCTCAGTATAACCCTCCAAAAGCAAACATACATAATGATAATTATGATATTATTATTTCACATTTTAAAAACAAAACATGCAATTTTTTTAAACTTTAAAGCATTTTTCTAGCTAATTATATTATTCTTTCCCTTCAAATTCACTAATAAAAATATAAAATAAGCTATACAGACTAAAGTATTGTGTATAATTTCATTATTATTTTTATCCTCAAAATTTGTAATGACCAATTTATTAAAATTATGTCTCTTTTATATTAAAGGTAATTTTTAAAGTTTATTGCTGTATATCAATTGAAAATGAAAACATATATTTTAAATCAAGTCATGCAGAATTATAATTATTTTATATTAAAATAGTAATCGTCCATTTTAAATAAGGAATCATTATATTGGATTTCTTAGTATAAGCAATCCAAATTTTAAATTTTATTTCCTTAATGTTATTTTAATACTGTATTAGATTATACAAATACATAAAAGGTTTTATAGCTCATCAATTCAATTTCAACTCTATTTTAAAGATTTTTAATATATTTTATTTTGATATTATCTAATTATAATATAACTGATTAAAAATTTAAGTTCACACACACAATTTTTATTTATTTTTTCATTTTTAAGACATTAGAGTGCTACCAGTGGGTTGCTTCTCAACAGGTGTTTTCATGTGATTATATTCCTGTGTACACATTTACTTGATGTATTTATATTGTAATACTCAAGAACAAATATCAAGAACAACTAAAAAAAAATAAATAATAAGACTGGCATATACGAGGAACAAATTTAAACATTTAACCAAAAATTAAAATTTAGATCATATTAAAAATATAAATTTTAGAACATTACACTCTTCAGTATATTAGAATTATTGATATTTTTCATGATTGTCCAATGATACATCGTCAGCTTTCAAAGTTAACATGTAATTAGATAACTTTTTATTAATTAGGGATATTTTAAATTATTTCAAATTTAATTTAAGCTTGTGGTAACAAATATCAACACATCCAACTAATTAATATAAATATATCACTAAGGCTATGGCAAGATAAAAACAATTAAAATTTAACAAATTCGCATAAGTTACTTCTAATTAATATTTACAACACTAGTAAATCAAGGTTTAATATTAATTATTTATTTCAATTATTACCATATTTCTTTACTCAATTTATACCAATTAATTAGGTGTTCTATTACTAATACTCCCTAATACGATATCAAGTAAATATCAAAGATATATAAGTCAAGTTATTATTAAATAAATATAGTGTAAAATCCAAATCCATTCTTATGGGAATGAGTTGGTGTAGACATAGTCTGACTGCCTAGCTGGAGGAGTTCCGTGGGGAGATCCAAAGGAGGGACCAGGAGATACTGGCAATGAGCGCAAAGATGAAGACTTTGGAGGAACAACATCAGGACTACCAAAGGCATATTGCTGTTCTCAAGGAGTCACTATGTGCCAAGGAAGAACATTATAACATGCTTCAGGCTGATGTTAGTATCATTGAGTTCATTTTATAATCTCTACCAGAATTTTAGGTAAGGTATAATAATAATTTTTTTCAGTAACTGTTGAATTATAGATATCTCATGTGGCTCTCATAGGTTTCAATGGTATAAAATATTTCACTTAGGAAATGATTGTCTAATTTTAGACATTAGATCAATAATGTCTCAGCGTTCCCCTCAGGTCAAGAATAAATTTTTAGCTCTTCTTTGTCCATCTTGTCCATCATATATACATAGAAAAAAAGAAAGATAATAGGCATAGTTGTGATTCAAGATGAACAATGTTGTCATGAATATTACTTATTAAAACTATAAATTAATGAAAATTGTATGTGTATGTATAAATAAATATATATATATACATATACATATGCATATACATACACACACACATATATATATATATATGTGTGTGTGTGTAAATGTATATGCATATGTATATATATATACATATGTATATATATATATATATATATATATATATATATATATATATATATATATATATATATATATATATATATATATATGTATACATATATATATATATATATATATATATATGTGTGTGTGTTTGTGTGTGTATTTATGTATGTATAAAAAGTAAACAAAAAATCTCATAGTAAAAGAGTAATACACAAAAGCATGCACATACTTATACTAGTCTAATCTTAAAATCTTGGGCAAAATGGCAAATAACAATTTTTATCATTTATTATTTTGAAGCTTTTCATTGTAAGTTATACATATATAAATATATATATTACAGCTGCTTGAGCTTTTTTTTTGTGTCCCTTTTCTGCTTTCAATTAAAAACTCAACATTTATTTCTCCTTTTTTTTAGAATTCTCTACCAAACAGCAATACATAGAAAAAAGTAATAATAATAAAAAAAATATTAATTAAACATTCTTGGACCATGCACTTGAAAAAGCCACATTTTAATGATAATTTATGAACAAGTACACTCACTAAATAGGAATTTATCAAATACAACATTTCAGTTAACTCATCAATAATTATTTAATCATTACCTGAAATATTCTTACTATAACCATACTTTTTATTTTATTGTATTAAAAATAAAAGAAGAAATTTGATTGTAGTACAGTATTTGCATTCAATCATTTTATAATTTGTTTAAAATATTTCTATAATATGTAGTTTGAAATGAATGATATTTATTTAATTGATGGAGTTTTGTAGTGAATGATTTATTTATATTAGATATATATATTTAAACAATATATAATTAATATAGTCTAGTTCCATCAAATTATATTCTATTTTCATTGTATATTTTTAAAGTTACTGTTATTCTTGACAGGTGGAAGAGTTACGACAGCGTTTAGAAGAAAAAAATCGTCATATTGAGAAAAAAACACAAATTGCACTTCAAGCTCAACAAGAAAAAGCAAGATTTGCCAATGAACTAAATGAAATGAGGGACCATATGGACATCAAAGATCGAAAAATAAATGTTCTTCAAAGAAAGGTAACTGTCTTCAATTAGAGTGTTGTGAAATAAAATATTACAGTTTACATGATCTTGAGATTGTTATATAAAAGAAATTGTCTTATAAAATAGATATAAAACTTAATATTGTTTAATTAACCAAATATAAGTTTTTCTCTTACCTATTTAAAGATAATATTATTCTTTCTTTTTTTTTTTAATAATTTTATTGAGGTATAATACATTTTACCATACTTAAGGGTACTGAGTATTAAAGCTGTAAGGTACAATCATGTCATATTTACAATATAATAAAATAAAAAAAAATGAAATACATAAAAATAGATATATAAAAGATAATAATGTATATATAACATAAATAAAAACGGTAATAAAAACAAAGAAAAAGAAATATAGCTTATAGTGAAATAACACAGAAAAAAAAAAAAAAAAAAAAAAAAAAAACTAACAGTGATACTTATTTACAATCAGCCAAGGGAGCTCTGAGTCCAGCCCTTTCCTCCACGTTTAAAGGACAAGGCTAGGCTCTAAGAGATCCCAGCGCCATCCTCTCAGCCGCGAATATTATTCAAAAGAATTTTGTGATTTTCCTAAACATAATGAAATGTTACTTTTTGGGGTCTTAAAATTTATCGGGATGCCACTGGATAATTATTATGATAATTACCCAGAAATGTTTAATAAGAATTAATAATAAAAAAGGTACTTGCGTACGCGGCCTCTATGGACTGCTATCTGCTGTTATCTTGTTATTTATATTTCTTATTAATATATATATATATATATATATATATATATATATATATATATATATATATATATATATATATATATATATATAAAACAGGCAAAAAAGAGGCAACACCAAATCTATTTATCATCATCATCATCATAATCCTTTCCCTCTGTACCGCTTCCCAGTGTGGGGATGTGCTCTATAGAGCTTGACCCATGTGTCCCCCTCCTGTACCAGCTCTCTCCTCCTGCTCCAGTCCAGCCCTCACTTCCTGAACGCCTCCCGCACGCCTTCTTCTCAGGTGATCCCTGGTCTTCTACTGCCCACTCTCGTCTCATACATTATCCTGGCCGTTCTTTCCATGTTCATTCTTAGGAGGTGCCCGAACCATCAAAGCTTATTCTCTTCTAGAGTGCTTTCTACCGGCTGTACCTCGAGGTTTGATCTTATTGTCGTGTTACGGATCCTATCTCTCCTGGTCTTTCCTCAACCTTTCTTAGGTACCTCATCTCCATTGTCTGGATCTGCCCCTTGTGTTTTGAGGTAAGAGTCCATGATTCGGAGGAGTAAGAGAGGATGGGCAGGAACGTTGACTTGTAGACGGATATCTTTGTTTTCTTCGTCATTTCTCTTTTGTTGAAGAAACCTTTCCAGATTGAATAGAACATTTTTCCATCTGCTCCCTTTGTGACACCTCTCCATCGATACAGCCACTTTCGTTGATGCATGCACCCTAGATATTTGAAATCCTGCACCTGTTCCAGGGTCTGTCCTTTCAACCTCAATATTCTCATAACTCGGCGGGGACGTCTACCTATTCTCTTGCATTTTGTATTCTGTGGATTAATATCCATGTTAATGCTAGATAGCTCTTCTTGCATGATATTTACGTTGTATAGTAGGTCCCAGTCATCCGCAGAAAATTTAACTAGGTCATCGGCAAAAGCTAGGACTCTGTAGAAAATAGGCTGTAGACTCCTATATTCCAGTTGAAAATGCCGCAGTCTGAGTTTAGCTCTCCTCAACGCTTGATCCAGCACCTGTACGAAAAGTAGGGGATTTAGGCTGCACCCCTGCCATATTCCCTGCGTCATTTCAAACTCCTTGGATGTGTGATTGCCAGTTCTTATATTTCTGGTCTTTCAATAGAGACTCCTAACAGCCAGGATCATACCGATGTCAACTTGTCTTTCAGACAGGGCTCGCTCAATATCCTCCTTTTTGACTCTGTCAAATGCCTTTTCAAGATCCACGAAGCAGACAGAAAGTTCTTTCCCTTTCTTGATGGACTTCTCTGTGACCTACCTCAAAGTGAAAATCAGGTCCTGTGTACTCCTCGAGTTTCTGAATCCATACTGCTCCTCTCCGATCTGGCATTCGATCACTCTTCTTGCCCTTGCTTCAAGGATTCTAGAATAAAGCTTACTTGGCACACTCAGCAGAGATATGTCTCGATGATTATTGCATTCTCTATTGTCTCCCTTCTTGTAAACAGGCACTACCACAGCAATCTCCCAGTCCTTCGGTATCGGTGCATAATTTCAGTAAAAATAAAAATTTTACTATGATGATTGGAAAATTATCCCGAAACGTAAGAGACAACAAGCATAAATAAAAAAATATGAAGAAAATTGGAAGTTTTATTGCCTAAAATATGAAAAAACTTCGGTATCCTTTTCCTATGCCAAATCAAATTTAAGAGATGGAGAAACATTTCTTCACCTTTACTGCCCATGTGCAGCATCATTTCGGGAGTTATTTCATCAAGCCCTGCAGACTTGCCCAGCTTCATCTTAGAGATAGCTTCCTGCAGTTCTTCCTCGCTGATAAAATCATCTTCTTCTGAATACTCCGTCTCAGCATTGTGGATCTCATCCAGACTAACGTTTCTCCCTTCCAGCAGCTCCTTGAAGTACTTTCTCCATTAGAGATGGGCAGTACTCGATTACTTTCATGATTTGAGTAATTTTATTAGGAAAAAGTATCGAGTAGTTTCTGTACTCAGCCTTTTTCATAAAAATATACTGTCGGATTTTAGATAGTGCCCCCGGGCATCGAATTTTCATAACTTTTCCGAGTAAATCGATATCAGGGTCGACTATTATGTTTTGGGGGGCGCTATTTATGAAAATGATATCGAATTTGAGATTGGGCCCCCCGGTCCCCGACTTCTTTTAACTTTTTGAATTAAATCGATATCAGGGTCGACTATTATGTTTTGGGGGGCGCTATTTATGAAAATGATATCGAATTTGAGATTGGGCCCCCCAGGCACCGACTTTTTTTAACTTTTTGAATTAAATCGATATCAGGGTCGACTATTAGGTTTTGGGGAACGCTTTTTATGAAAATGATATCGAATTTGAGATTGGGCCCCCCGGGCCTCGACTTTTTTTATCTTTTTGGATTAAATTGATATCAGGGTCGACTATTATGTTCTGGGGGGCGCTTTTTATGAAAATGATACCGAATTTGAGATTGGGTCCCCCGGGTCCCTACTTTTTTTAAACTTTTTGGATTAAATCGATATCAGGGTCAACTATTAGGTTTTGGGGGGTGCTTTTTATAAAAATTATATCGAATATGAGATTGGGCCCCCCGGGCCCCGACTTTTTTTAACTTTTTGGATTAAATCGATATCAGGGTCAACTATTAGGTTTTGGGGGGTGCTCTTTATGAAAATACTGTCGGATTTGAGATTGCACCCAGTGGATTCACTTTTTAGAAGTAGTCGATATCAGGGCCGTCTATTATGTTTTAGGGGACGGATTTTATAAATAAAAAAAAATCCGACATCATTTTTATAAAAAGTGTCCCCCAAAACCACATAATCAACATTGATATCGATTAAATCCGAAAGGTTACAAAAAGTCGGGCCCCGGGGGCACTATCTCAAAATGTATGAAAATGATTCGTAATCTGATATCATTTTCATAAAAAGCGCTCCTAAAATATAATAGTTGACCCTGATATCGATTTAATCCAACAAGTTAATAAAATTATAGGCTCGGGGGACCCAATCTCAAATTCGATATCATTTTCATAAAAAGCGCTCCCCAAAACATAATAGTCGACCCTGATATCGATTTAATCCAAAAAGTTAATAAAATTATAGGCTCGGGGAACCCAATCTCAAATTCGATATCATTTCCATAAAAAGCACCCCCCAAAACCTAGTAGTCGACCCTGATATCAATTTAATCCAAAAAGATAAAAAAAGTCGGGGCCCGGGGGGCCCAATCTCAAATTCGATATCATTTTCATAAAAAGCGTCCCCCAAAACCTAATAGTCGACCCTGATATCAATTTAATCCAAAAAGATAAAAAAAGTCGAGGCCCGGGGGCCCAATCTCAAATTCGATATCATTTTCATAAAAAGCACCCCCAAAACCTAATAGTCGACCCTGATATCGATTTAATCCAAAAAGTTAAAAAAAGTCGAGGCCCGGGGGGCCCAATCTCAAATTCGATATCATTTTCATAAAAAGCACCCCCAAAACATAATAGTCGACCCTGATATCGATTTAATCCAAAAAGTTAAAAAATTATAGGCTCGGGGGACCCAATCTCAAATTCGATATCATTTTCATAAAAAGCATCCCCCAAAACCTAATAGTCGACCCTGATATCAATTTAATCCAAAAAGATAAAAAAAGTCTAGGCCCGGGGGGCCCATTCTCAAATTCGATATCATTTTCATAAAAAGCGCCCCTAAAACATAATAGTCGACCCTGATATCGATTTAATCCAAAAAGTTAATAAAATAGTCGAGGCCGGGGGACCCAATCTCAAATTCGATATCATTTTCATAAAAAGCATCCCCCAAAACCTAATAGTCGACCCTGATATCAATTTAATCCAAAAAGATAAAAAAAGTCTAGGCCCGGGGGGCCCATTCTCAAATTCGATATCATTTTCATAAAAAGCGCTCCTAAAATATAATAGTTGACCCTGATATCGATTTAATCCAAAAAGTTAATAAAATTATAGGCTCGGGGGACCCAATCTCAAATTCGATATCATTTTCATAAAAAGCATCCCCCAAAACCTAATAGTCGACCCTGATATCAATTTAATCCAAAAAGATAAAAAAAGTCTAGGCCCGGGGGGCCCATTCTCAAATTCGATATCATTTTCATAAAAAGCGCTCCTAAAATATAATAGTTGACCCTGATATCGATTTAATCCAAAAAGTTAATAAAATTATAGGCTCGGGGGACCCAATCTCAAATTCGATATCATTTTCATAAAAAGCATCCCCCAAAACCTAATAGTCGACCCT